TTGATGAAAAAAACACAGTTATTTTTCTTTCTGATCCTATGAATGCAAGAGCCACTCTCTTTAAACTCAGCCTTGTTTCATATTCTGTTCAAATGGTTCTACGAATTATTCCAATTTATATTGCCTGTGGGGGTCTTCCAGGAATTAAGTTCTGGCCCCATATACCTGAACTTTGTTTCATATTCTTTTCATGTGAGCGTTCAGGGCAATCCCTAATGTTTCAGAAGCAGCTGATATCCAAAACGACCTTCAGTCGGTTGTTTATTGGGACGAAAGATGGCTTGTTAACTTTAATACCTAAAAGAATACTCTCCATTATTCATGTGAGTGACACCCTTTCCATCAACAACGGTGATGCTAATATCTAAGAGAGTCACTCGTTGTACCTTCTGGGGCTAACGTTTTCGACTGACATGAAGTGGAAAGAGAGAGTATATTGAATCCATTGTAAGGTCAGCTGCTAAGAAACTTTATTCGCTGTGTCGTGCGAGACATTTATTCTATCCAGAATCTATCCTCCATATCTATAAGTCTATGTTTCGTCTATGCTTAGAATATTGCTGCCACATATGGTCCAATGCACCTGCTATTTATCTAGAGCTCCTCTATAAAATCCAAAGAATCATCAGTATTTTTGGACCTGATCTGGTGTCTTGATTTCATTCACTTTCCAATCGCTGTGTGGTGCTGTTTCTACAAACACTTTCATGGTAATTTTTAGGATTAATTTTTACTTTAATAACCAGTCTTTTTTAATTTAACCGCAGTAGTAAACTGGCGTTCAGCTGGTTAGATGTAACTGCAAATTCTATGCTAACAGTTTCTTTTCTGCTAGCACTTCTCGTTTGTGGTAATCCCTTCTGGCAGCAACCTTTCCAGACAACTTTAACCTTCAAAAATATATATGCAATGTCAAACGTTATCTACTCTCGTCCTGATTATTCTTTCTTCTACCCACTAATCATTAATGTTTCTGTTTCTAATTCTTCCAGACTCAGTATCCTCTTATGTCTTAATTGTTTTACTTCGTTGCAAGGGTTGACCTCGATTTTTTAAAAATAGCCTATTCCATTATTTATTTACCCTTTCTGCAGTTGTCTGCCCGTACTATGTAGTACCTCCTCCATGTCTAGGATCAATCTTTGCAGACACAATGAAGGAGATTGATGGACTCAAGTCCCATGGACGCGTGGGCCTCCCACTTTAACCATATTCTGTTTGGTGGGACGAGGGGATAGATATTTTTCAAATTTTTTTATGGTGACGTTTTTAAAGCTCTACCGGATGGATTTTGGTTGCAGGTACGACCTCTCCTAAAGGCAAGGCGCTTGTGGCGTCCCCAAATAAATAAAAAAAAATATGCAGAGAGTTCTTCAGCAGCTTTTGTCCTTTGTCAATGTAGAAGTAATAAACCCTCTTTAAACTTGCTCCTCTACCATTTTCCGTTCAATTTGGTTTACGGATAATATCAATTTAATTTCTGATGCAGTCCTTATGATTAAGCTAAGGTCCAGAGGATTATACCCACCCGAATTAATAGCACTCTCAAGAGTGTGAATGAGGATTATTTTGGATGACTGAGGCGTCGAAAAATGAATTGCCGTTTTTGCTTTAGTAATTTTAATTCTTAATCCTATATACGCTTGTGAAGGTGATTTATTAAGTCGAGAATTTGTTAAATTTGCTCGCGCTTAGTTGTAGATAAATAGAATAAATAATCATTTATTCATCATCTGTCTATATTTCTATGATAAGGTATTTTAACTATTTACATTGCTCGGACCTTTGTCCTCATCTTTATTGTTACATTTTCAACGTTTCCGTCGTTGTAGGCTCCGGTTCTTCAGTTGATATTCATTGGAAATTCCCACCGAACCCATAAAAAATTGACCATGACAACCTCTGTCACGATATTTGCAAGCGGTGGGTATAAGAAATGGAACAGATTCTCAGTTACTTTACTAAGAGACCCAGCAATGTGGAGGTTGTATATCACCACATTTCAGGAAATAAACATGGGAAGAATGTCTACATAAACGTCATCAAAAACGCCAACATCCAGATTCACTATTCTGGGTTCAGTTCTATATTCCAACAAATATCACCTGAAGAAGTCCGGAGCCTACAACGGTCGAAACCTTGTAAATGTAATAATAAAGATGAGACCAGCTGTCCGAACAATCCTAATAGTGTGAATACTTTATTTAATATTACATTTTAATTAATTTTCTGTTTCAAGCGGAGACACATTTTATGCATTATATATTAGATAACAATCAACATTCATATACACGTGACTTACTGTAACACCTTAAGGGCAAAAAATACAGCAGTTTCTATGTTTTTTTAAATTTCACTATAGGTAAATATGTTTTTTTTACTGTTAGTTGAAATATGTCCCAGTATGAGAGTACTTTTGAATTTCCCCTCACGGTCGTTCGAACATTGTCATGGGTCCTTACCTATAACTACAGAATGAACTCTTCCTAACACTATATATACTACGCCTCTCAAGAGAGAGGGTCGAATCGAGTCGAGCCGATAGTAGTTCACTCCAAACCAGACTGACATCTTGTATTATTATTTCGTGTAATATACCTTCGTTATTTCTACTCTTGTATTCGTTTTCTTCTTCTTTGGTCCTAACCTGGACCATAAAAGTGGTGACGAGGCTATTGAAGAAACGAATTCTACGCGGAGGATATAAAAATTCTTTTTTTTTTTTAAATTTAACAAAAAACAAACGTTTTTGCTATCGGTCGTCCATAACAGAGGCGACGGATAAAAGATAAAAAAAAATTTTGGACACCAACCATGACAGTGGTAAAGAAGACACGAATTTTACCTGTCAGCCAGTATAGAATCGAATTCTACGCAGGAAATTTTTTGTACCAAGGTTCCAGAACAACAGACGAAAAAGACCTGAAGTCTACACCGAGAAAAAAAGAAAAACTCGTCACACAAGTACACAAATCTATCTACAAAGTACATATTGCGAAAAGAAAAAGTAAGGGGAAAAAGTGAGTTTTTTTCCTCCTTTTCTCGTGACAACAGATAGCCTGTGTTATTTTTAAATTACGGTGTAAACACGGAAGACTTTAAGGCAACCATATTGGAACTAATGAAAATGCAATTCGAGGAGCAAAGAAATGAGGAAGGACAGACTAGGCTCGAAGAAAAACAATTAGAAATTCAACAGAAAAACGAAGAAAAGCAACTCGAACTACAAGAATTACTGCTACGGGCAGTAACAAATAAAGGACAAAATTCTGAAAATGAAGCGACATTCTTGCAAAATGCTATATGGAGCTCAATCAAAGGCTTCACTTATGCACCGGATGAAGACAAAACATTCGCGCCTTACTTCAGAAGATATGAAGATTCATATGAGTTTGATTGCGGGAATTGTTCAGACGCGAAACAAGTACGTCTACTACTGAGGAAACTAGGGTCAAGCGAATACACTAAATTTGTAGACTACATCCGAGGAAAACGAATGAGTTGACTTTCAGGGAAGCCGTGAAACTTTTAACGGAATTATTTAGTTCGAACACTTCACTATTCCACAAAAGGTGGAAATGTTTAAATTTAACAAAAAAGGATAGCGAAGACTATATAACATTCACTTCCGTAGTAAACAAACAATGTGATGTCTTTAAGTTATCTGAACTCATCCCTGACAACTTTAAAAGTTTGATATTCGTCCCAGGCTTGGTTTCGACTAAAGATGCGGAGAGCAGACGGAGAATTGTAACAAAACTGAAGAGTGAACCAAAACTGACGCTACAAAAATTGGCTGAGGACAGTCAGAGATGTATAAGCGTAAAAGAGGACTCGAAAGATATCGAAGAGACTGGCATCGCTCACATACGAAAACTACAAGGACAAATACGTTTTTCTCCCTCCTCAAAAACAAACCAAACCAATTATTTTATTACAAAAAGTCAAATGAAACCTCAGAAGAAACAACCACCCAGTCCATGCTATCGCTGTGGGAATTTACATTGGTACAAAGATTGTCCATACAATGGAAATGGTGAGATTAACCGTTTCCTTATAAGGAAAGAGTCAGCATTCATTGACCGAATAGTTATTGTCAATTGCAATTTATAAAATATTTCTCTTAAAACAGTTTTCTCAGCTCCACTAACTTTTATAAATCTTTTTATTACTGTTGGCGCTTTCTTTCATAACCTTTTTTTTTAACCGTGTAGAAAGACAACATATTGATTATATACTTTTTTCTCTTAGAATTACATGTGATACCCCTTTTAGTTACTGGTACCGCTGAAAATCTACAAGTAATTTAGTTTTTGTAATTTGGTAATTTACTTTGCGTTTGTTTAGCACCAGTATACGAAATACGATGAAAGACAATCTCCTTCAATGACCCACAGGGTTCATTGCCTTGAAGTTATTTTTAATCATTGATTTGAGAAAACTGCTGTTCATAGCTGAGAGTTTAGACATTTTTTTTAACGAGTGGGAATAGAATAAAAAATGTGTTACTCTGATTTTCAAAGTAGAAGCAACATTGCTAAATTAGAAATTATCATTCGAATTTTTGGTATTTCACTTAGACTTGTACACTAATCACTTGCTCCTATGAGACAAACACAATACATGAGACGAGTTCAACAAAATAGTTCCATGATGCATCGGGACATCAATATTTTTTTCAATTATTCAGCCTCTCATTATGCGACTATTTTCTGTTTACGTAATATTCATTACTTTGTTTCAACTTTCTTCTCATTTTTCTAATTTTTTCTGTCTTTATTTCTCGATATTTTTTCTTTCAGTAATTCTTTCCCTGTTAATCTTTTTGGTTCTACATTTACTTTCTTTTCTAAATCCTCTTTCCTATGATTTTTTTTGTTTTTTTGTTTATTTTTATTAATTTCTCATTCTTTCCTATTTTAATACTTTTCTTTTTTTTCTATTTTTCTTTCGTCGGTTGTCTTTAATTTCTTCTTCCATCGACTTCTTTTCTTTCCTAGTTTCTCTGTCTTTCGTTCTTTTTTAATCTCCCTTTCTTTGCTCCTTTACTAATATATATATCTCTCTCTCTCTCTTTCCCCAGTGGCTTTCATTCAGTCTCCCTTTCTTTCCTTCTCAGTCTCCTTTTCTTTCTTTATTTACTAGTCTCCTTTTTTCTTCTTTACTAATCTCAATTTCTTCTCTTCTTCACTGGGATTCTTTGCTTTCTTTCTTTGGCAGTCTCATTTCTTACCTTCTTTATTAGACTTCATTTATTTCTGTCTTTTCTATTTTCTTTCTTTCCTCTTTTCACCGTCTCCGTTCATTTTCTTCTTTTGTAGTCTCTCTCTCTTTTTCTTTTTTTCTTTTCTTTTTTCTTTCTTTCTTTCTTTCTTTCTTTCTTTCTTGCCTAGTGTCTGCCTGTTTCCTTTTTTCTTGGTCTATCTTTCTTATCTTTTTTTCATAGGCTCAATTTCTTTTTCTTCTTACCTAGTATCTCTTTATTTCCGTCGTGTTTCTCTTCTTCCTCTTTTTCATATTTTGATATTTTCCTTGTCTCTCTTCCTTTCCTTCTTTCTCTATTTCTGATTCTCTCCTTATTTTTTAGTTTTTCCTACACTTCTCCTTTCCTATCTAGTTTTTTTCCTTTTTTCTATTTCTTTCTTTTCTACTCACCAAACCAGTTTTTCCCCCATATCACATACTTATTTTAATCAATCCACTGGAATAAATCTTTCGTCAAGTCTGCTATTCAGTTTCTCTTCCTTTTCCGGTCTTCATTTCCACGCCTCTAAATACTTTCTATTTAGGGTTTCATTCATGACATTCCGTTCAGAAATAGTGATAGGCCTTCGTAGTTTATGTTTCCTTTTTAGTAAGTCAATTTAGAAACCGATCCCAATCCATAACACATTATTTCTGAATATGGGTAATAATCTCCTGCTACAAAATTATATATCCCGTGGGTATTACAGATTTTACGCTTCCACTGTATGACTTAAATATTTATTTGAAAATATTTTATCTGTAAAACGACCCTATGTACGAAAGTTCCTGTACGATGTTGCAAAACGCATTTTCGAGATGTATAACAATTCGACCCATAATGAAAAGCTTTCGGGAACCACTAGTTTTGCTTACAAGATATTTTTACACGTTCAAAATATGTAATCAGCTCTTCTGATATTTTTGATAATTGTTGACTTCGTTATTCTTTCTTATATGTGATTTACTTTTCGAAGCTTCAAAAGTGAATCAAAGGAGCAGGCTTCGTCCTCAATTTAGACATACAAACGGTTAGAAAAAAGTCTCATTATCGACATCGTTTCCATAGTCGGCGAAAAGGTCGAGTAGGATGTGTATTTATGAGAAAGCATGGTTTCCTTGAATTCGAGAACAAGTGACAAGTCACAGTGACAACAAAACACTTCCAAAAATTCAAATTTCTCAAGTCCAAAATTTATGAAGAATACATACTCTATGGCATGTAGCAAAAAATGGATACTTTTCATTATCAGAAAAGAAGCAACAAAACACAAATGCAAACATGCTGTAATCTCACAATTTCAAGACCCTTACGAACCAACCATATATCTCTACCACTAGTTTTACTAAGATACTACTCTGTGGAAAGCCAAATGACAACAAGTCGATTTTATATAAATCTAATATTTATTGATTACACTGGGAAAGGAAAATATTAACTTTCTATGTTTTTCCAAATGTTTTACAAGTTTTCATCGCTGGATCCGAGAATGACATCTGTTTCTCTCGAACAAGCCATGTTTTTGTGCTAGGTTGAGTTTTTTTTTTAAATCCGATCTTCTGAATAATTCGATTACATTTTGTGACATTATTGATTGAATTTTGTCAGTATTCCTCATACGAAATAAGATTTAAGAGAAAAATTGTTTTCTAACACAATTTATTAATTAAATTTTACAAACATCAATTACAATAAATTGAATATCACACATTGATAAATGTAAATACATGCAAATTTCATGTTACGTCATCACCGTTCAAAATTGTGGTCTTCAAATTCCGTTTATTCGAACCCTAGAATGATCAGCGGCAGGGGTGTCTCTCTCCAAAATCCATCAGTAATCAGCCATCATGACTCCATCTCGTTCATGTCCTGATGGAATCTATCGCCATGTGTGTCGCTCATTGATCCCAGATTATCGGGAAACTGTTCCCTATGTGAGAATAAATAGTGCACTTTGATGCCCATGTTGCGTCCGAGGTTTCTGAAAGCGGTCAACATATAGATGACAAGTTCTGCCCAGTTCCTAGTCTTGTTGTTGCCAAAAACTTCTTCACGAAGAGAACAAAAGCCTTCCATAATTCCAGTTCCACTTCATAGATCTCGGAGGATCTGACGGATTTGAGGACCATCAAAAATGACAGCCGTAAAACTTCTCCATCATCAATCCTGGAAAAGCCTGGCTCAAGTAAGTGAAGCCGCCACTATCATTGTCCAGAGCTTTGGATAACTGCTTGATCAAGCCGAACATGATGTGCAACGATGGGAAAAGTATTCTGTCTGTACACCAGAGGCTTATTGATGATATCCGTTGCTCTGCAAGAGATCAATTCCTCTCGAACAGGCCGATCTTTTTTGCGTAATGCAGTGTCCCTACTGTCCCACTTCCACAGAAAGCATGGGTACTTGGTGAAACCGGACTGCTGTTCCAACAACATCTTCACCATCTTCAGGTCAACGCAAATAAACCACTCATGTTGATCATAATGAATTTTCTCCAGCACATGTCTAGAGTTAACCGTTATCTTCCCGGCTTATCCATATAAATTTCCCCTTAACGAAACCCTCTCCCACGTGTGGCATCCGGATCTTGTACAGTGTGAGCCTTACTATAAGAAAATCCTCTTCGATTTAATTTCTTACTCTCTCACTCAAGCGTTATAAAAGATTTATTCTCTGTAAATCTTTTACCATCAAGAAAGAATCATGGTAAGAACTCTATTTCCTCTCGCAACATTACAATTCCTAAATATCACGCCTACATTCACAAATTGTGTGTGTTCCAACAAATCTAAAAATCGTTTTTATCAGGCTGCTAGATGGCAAAGAGTATTAAAATAATCCTATTGAATGTTCTTTTTATCAATTAGTTCCTGGCCAAACGAATATCAGAGAACAGACATACGTTGAAATTTGTCGATATATTTAGCGATATCATTTTTCTATTGGAGATAACACCAAACTGATAATTTGTTTCGTAACACTTACAGAGTTCAATATTTCTATCATGCAAAAGAATGGAATGAAAGACAGTTCTATTGTTTTAAAAATGATTGCTATGTTTTTAATATAGATATGGTCTTACAATTAGAAAATCGTTCTTATTCCGGAGCAAAATATAAAATCATCAAGAGATTTATTAACCTATAAAATCAAGACATTCACGAGAATAATTTTATTTTTTTAACTTGCCTCTGCTTAATCAGTGTTTTTCGATGTCTTTTCTACTTTTTGACGAGTCATCATTTGTATTTACGATGAGGTGAGAATATTTGTCGGCAAAGACAATAAAGGGTTTCCGTAACAAAAGAAAAATGAAAAAATAGAAACTGGAAAGTGTTGCCAAAGTGGTATTGTATTTTTAAAATATTCATCATTCTTGTTTTTAACTCAGCCTCAATTTCAAACGTTCCTAGATTTCTTGAAAGGAAATATGAAGAGGATGTTTTTGATTGGCAGATACATTAAGAACCGGAGAAATATGATCGGTTATATTTATATGTCTTCATAGCTATAGAAACAATAATACATCCATATATGTATACATACATACATATATATATATATATATATATATATATGTGTGTATATGTGTGTGTGTGTGTGTGTGTGTGTATATATATATATATATTGGCGTATGAAGCACAGATATTATATAAAATGGTAAAAAGACATTTATGTGTTTACGATCTATTTCATGTTAATTTAATGTTCGTTAATACAAGTTAAAATTTATATATAAACGCACATTCACTATATATATATATATATATATATATATATATATATATATATATATATATATATATAAAAAGAAAGAAAGAAAGAAAAAAGAAAATCGAGATAGTGAGAAACGGATAGGAATCGCTTTAAGCATTCGATGGGTTTTGCCCTGTTTCGAATGTCGTTTCATGCTGAGTGGAAACTTGCATGTGAAGCTGCCGATATTTTGTGTTATTTTCCAAATTCGTTCGAACATCATTTAAAAAAATTTAGAAGATAAATAAAACCGAGGAACATTTAGGAAGCTCGCAGTCTGGAGTTTCAAATGAACCTTGGTTCGCATAATATGCCTCTTAAATAGTTTATAGATTTATTCGACAATAGAATAAACTTTGAAAAATGCTTAATAAACTATTTTTCTCCGTTCCAAAGGATTGCTAACTAAATATCATGAACATATGATAACGTTAATGTTATTATCAGTTGTTGAACATTCGACGTTCAGTAACCATGCTGTCATTTTTACCGAAATTTATTTCATGTCTGCTGAAACAATTTTCCTGGAAATGTGTTTCTCACGTCTAGTAACTGTTATCAATATTGATGGTGGCTATCTTCCTAACTTTTGCTTGAGGGTGTGTGGAACGTCAACATCTAGATTATGTGATTATTTTCTCTTTGAGTAACATGTGCTCTCAATTTTAGTTGTTGCAAATCCTCACGTGATGTACTTTCTGTTATTTGGAACAATTCTTTGAGTTTCTGTAACACCAATCTACGAGATACGAAGTGGAATGGTCCTCACTAAAAATCTGCTACCGTTAAGAAAAGGTCTTGTAAGACATTTAACATTTCAACAACAACAAAGTATTCAAACGGAAAAAATCTTCAAATAGAAAATAGGACAAGTCAACGCCCAGTCAAGGTCAGATGAGTTTTGGGTGCATTTTATTTTTAGGACAAAGCAGAAATGCAAACTTTGATATCGTCTGTATGCGTGAGATGTGTTGAGTTGCTAGTGACTCCATATTTGATTTGAGATACAGTTTATATTGGACGAAAATGAAGGGAAAAAACAACATAGACTTGAAATTGCAATACGCAAAGCATTAGACATTGGGATAGACAATATCTTTCTTACAAATTTTAGAAAGATTGATTGCTGCCAACATTAGTGTTCAGGATTAAGTTCCGAACGATATTAACCTATGCCTCAGATTTGTGTAGGGGAAAAACAGAGAACTGCATTAGTGTTTATTTTAATGTAAACCCATTTTTAACACCATTGCTGAGTTGATTGTAAGAGGACGTTAACGTATACAACTTCTACTTGATCACAAGTTCCCTTTGTGCGCAGACTCCTTGAAACTAACTGAAAACATCAGCCAGCGAAATAAATCGCTCTCGCTCACCTAAAACACGAAAGACACTTAGGTACAAAATCCAAGACCTTAAAAACGCAAGGCTAAGATTAGAATTCTGTAATGAATTAGATTCTAAATCGAGCAAATAAAAAAAAATAAATCAAACAGTGTTATCATATCTGCATTAGCCGATGCACATGGTACCATTCTAATAATACCTAGGAAAAAAGTTTCTT